CGACAGGACAAGGGGCAATGGGCACAAACTGAAGCAGAGGAAGTTCCAGCTGAACATGAGGAAGAACTTCTTCCCTCTGAGGGTGATGGAGCCCTGGCCCAGGCTGCCCAGGGAGGCTGTGGAGTCTCCTTCTCTGGAGATATTCCAGACCCGCCTGGACAAGGTCCTGTGCAGCCTGCTCTGGGTGACCCTGCTTGGGCAGGGGGTTGGACTGGGTGACCCACAGAGGTCCCTTCCAACCCCCACCATTCTGTGATTCTGTGAACTGGGGAGCCCAGAACTGGACACAGTACTCCAGATGGGGCCTCACCAGGGCAGTGTAGAGGGAAAGGAGAACCTCGCTCGCCCTGCTGGCCACACTCCTCTTCAAGCACCCCAGGATCCCATTGGCCTTCTTGGCAGCCAGGGCACACTGCTGGCTCATGGTCACCTTGTCATCCCGCAGCACTCCCAGTCCCTCTCCACAGAGCTGCTCTCCAGCAGGTCTGCCCCAAGCCTGTACTGGTGCAGTACTGGGTTTCCTACACGAGGGACAGACGGGCTTGGCGCAGCCCGGCCTTGGCAGTTCTTATCAGCTTTCCTCACTCAGCAGTTAGGGACAGGACAAACCGTGGGTCCGCAGCCAGGCTGAGGAGCACCGACCACTCGTCCCCTCACAGATGTGGCCCTGAGGATCGTCTGTGCTCCCCCCTCTTTGCAGGAGGAGCACATTACTAGGAAAGGAAAGTGGCTTTAAGCAGGCGGCACAGTAATGCTGGAGCTGTGAGAAAAAGCGGGGAAGGGCCGTTCCCCAAGAGCCGCTGTAAAATTGCTCACATCCGCTAGAATCCTGTACAGGGAGTTTTCACGCTGCAGCGTCAAGGTTGTAGGGGTAAATCACGGAAATACCTTATCTTGATAAGTCCTCCCCCCACCGCGCTTTTTCTTCTCCATTGTTATTTCCACAGGGAGAAGATAATTTCACTTACTGTCCAGCAACAGGCCTAGCTAAAGGAAATGAGCGCTCGGAATTTGCTGGCTGGGCATTTCCATTTCCAGGGGTGTTTCTGACAGAGGAGTTCATTAGCGAAGATGAAGAATCCGAGATAGTTGAACTGATGGATCGAGATGACTGGAAACCGTCACAGTCTGGCCGAAAGAAACAGGTTTAAGCACTTTTGTTCTTAGATCCCTCTGGAAAAGGAAAGCTGTTTTCAGTTATAACCTCAAATATTTAGATGTTTCACTGAATGTTTTCCTTTGAAAGCTTTTCCTGAAATCAATTGCAAGAATTACTTGTCATTAAAGTCAACTTCTTGCAAAAATACATGATGGTTACAACAAACGGTATTTGATGGTGCATGTCCAGGCATTAACCTTCACAGAGTCTCCAAGTGAAGGAAGTGGGTGGTTTGGTTTGGTTTTACTTTACAGATGAAAAACCTACTTCCAGAGAGATTAATGTAGCCTCACCGAGTCCTTTTGCAGGCTGGTGACTGGAAGAGATGAGAACTCAAAAGTCTTGACCATGGGCCCCATAGGGATCACAGCCTCTCCAAAAAGACCTGTCCCAGACTTTTCCTTAACACCAGCTTTCCCCCCTCTTTCTTTCCAACAGGACTATGGACCCAAAGTGAACTTCAAGAAACAAAGGCTGAAAGCTGGCAGCTTTACCGGTTTGCCAAGTTTTAGTAAAAAGATTGTGGCACAAATGAAGGCCTGCTCGGTACTAGGCGGTTTCTTACCTGTTGAACAGTGTAATTTGGACTACGTGCCAGACAGAGGTTCGGCCATCGACCCACATTTTGATGACTGGTGGCTTTGGGGAGAGCGTCTGGTTAGCTTAAACTTGCTCTCGAAAACCGTGCTGTCCATGTCTTGTGATTCAGAGGACAGTATCCAATTATTTCCCACTTTCAGTAATGAAAACGGGGAATTAAGTCCCCCTGGATCTTGTACACAGACGTCAGTGTGCAAAAATTCAGGCGGAGAGGGAGTCAACTGCATTTTATCCCCAAGGCTTGTTCCAAGTAAAGAGGTGACTGTTGCCATTCACTTACCCCGAAGGTCTCTGGTGGTGCTGTACGGTGACGCGCGGTACAAGTGGAAACACGCGATCTACCGCAAGCATATAGAGCATCGCCGAATCTGTGTCACGTTCAGGGAGCTGTCGGCAGAGTTCAGCGCCGGAGGAAGGCACGAGGAACTGGGTAAAGAACTGCTAGAAATAGCTCTTTCATTTCAAGGAAGACCAGTGTGATGAGCAGGAGGAAACCAGAACTGCATTTGGTTAGGAAATTTGAAAAATAAAGTTTAGAATTTGTACAACTTGGTTTATTTCTGAAGCGTGTGTAAGGAACCAAGGTGTGTACAGAGATATGCTCAATCAAATGGGAAGTTAACAAACAGAAAGAAGAGTGCAAGGAAGGGGTGGGCTGCTTGTGTCTTCGAAAACTCTCCTGGGCAATGGGAGCTTTTAGGCACAAGTCAGAAATGGGCTGTTGTATTCATCAGCTGTATTTTAACAAAATGCAAAAAGCAAGTAGCCAGTTCTTAAATACTTAAATTGAACCAAGAAAGAAACTTAGAATAATGACAGTGAGCCGAGTATCAAACAGCCCTCGGCACAGATTCAGCCCAAGCCGTGCAGCAGATTTTAACCCTTCCTGGCCCGTACTGGTGCTGTCCTGCTGCTTTGAGCGTTGCGCTGTGCCGCGGGGACACGACGGTCTTCTCACCTGCTTCAGATAGCACCTTTAGAGATCAACTCTCCAGGGGAATAGAGTAAGCAAGCATCTCTCCACAGGTAGTACAGCACACTGAGAACTAATTAAAGTAATTATCCTTTGCTGAAGATTCATGCTCTAACAGTGAGGATTAATCATAAATAGCATGTGTGACCTACATCTTCTGGGACCGAAGAGCAGTGTTTGCAGAGGGCCGATGCCGACTCTCCGCAGAGACAGCTTGGACAGAGTTCAGACCAAAGACTTGCACAGACCGTGGTACTTTCTGATCATTTTTCATCTCTGAACCCCGCTGTCAACTCTCAGTAGCAAGAGTCTTGATTTTGGGAATAAGCTGGGCAACAGACTGCAACACTGGCAGCCATCATTTTTTTTCTTGGCACCTCCAGCAGTCAGGTGTGAATCATGCCTTGTACCTAAGATGCAAGGAGTCATTTGTAGCAGAAGCTGATTTGAAGCCATCTGTCTGCTCTGAACAAACTCCTGCGCTCTTGAAAATGAAGTTGTGCTGTGGAAGAAGCGTGATCCTTTAATAAACACTGTTGTGTCATCGAAACCATTCAGCACAGTCGCGCCTGCAGCAGTAAAACAAGGCTGTACAACGCTGCCTGGTTTGGGTCGGTAAGGAAAGGGAGGGCACGGTTATCATGTGGGATCTCAGCGTCCCCGCGCAGGGGTATCCTGCCCTAGCAGAACTTCCTTGGCACAAGGCACAGGTTTTACTGTATGGTAAGGCACTCGTACCCTGACGCTGCCCTCCGCTTCAGGCACTGCAGGGGAGGGAGCTCCTCACCCAGCAGAACAGTTACCAGAAATCGGCTGGGTCAATCAGGACATTCTGAATCCGTTTAATCTAACAGATACAACCACACTCCTTCACGGCTGCAGCGAACCAGTTTCAGTTTAGCCCAGTATTTAAACAGTTGTGGACATCTATGTGACAATTCCAACAGGGACCCATGAGCAGGGCTCCCACGGGCAGTGCTCAGCCCCAAACCTCCGTCCAGAGCGGCCGGTGAGCGTCACCCAGGGGCTCCAGCAGCGCTTTCGGCAGTCACATCGTGCCCTCTCTGATGGGAACCTGTCACTGCAAACACAGCCATGCAGCAGGCAGGCCAAGGCCACGCTTGCTCACAGCCAGCTTTATCCCAGGAAATGCCTCACAGGCTGCAACTTCTCCAGCTCACTCCCAAAAGCAGGGCCTCATGCTCTCCAAATAGCGGTTCCCAACCTTTCTCCGGCAGACTGGTGTGCCCAGCGCCATGCCGCTGGTGTCCATGGGGCTCGGCAGCTGTAGACCGTGGTGTCCCCAGGGCAGCTGGAGCAGAGGACCTTCAGCCGAGCAGGAGGACGTGGCTGGCAGCCCGCTGCTGCTCAGCACAAAGCCACGCTACAGGAGGAAACCCAGGGCAGGCTTTCACAGATAAAGCAAGCATTGAGCCCGTGTCCTCATCACCCTTTCAGCACCGAGCCTCTCTAGCAATCTGCTCTTTGCTCAGCAAACTGCCGCAGTCAGTATTTCCATCAATGTTTGGCCCTTATTTCCAGTGCTCCCGTTTAGATTTCTATTGTGCTCTCAGCCTGTTAAAATACTTTCTGTGCGCATCCCTGCTGTTGCATTCTCTCCGCAGTGAAAGCAGATGATAGCTGCTGATGAATCAGCGTCACAATAACAAGATACACAATATTAGTTCATTTTCTGCTCTGCATTTGTTAGCTGAATTTTTCTGCCTCAGTCAAACTATATGGGAAGCTGCCATTCTTGCCAGAAAATTCCAGCTCTTCCTAGTCGGTATCTTAGCTTTGAAAAAATGCAAATAATTAAACACTGAGGCAAAACCTGAGGGCTTTGTCTAGATGTTTTTGAGTCCAAAACTTACTCTAGTCACTACAGTCTATCTTTTGACATTTTTCACCTGTTAAACGGCCTCTTGGGCATCATCTTAGATCAAAATGCAATTACACACCCATCGGTTCTGTATTACTTTCTAAAACTTTATGTACAGTCTCTCCTAAAAAGCCAGAATTGCAGCACTGCAGAACATTCGTAATTGGCTTGGACTGTCAAGTATCCCAGAAATCTGAGAAAAGTATAAAGAGGTTTTAATCTTAATTAATTAGCTCTTAAAAGTAATCTTGGCCAGTATGGTAATATTATTAATGTAAGACAAACTTTAATGGTCTTCATGTTATAGGAATTCCTGTCACAGCTGTTTAGCTCCTTAACCAAGATTATCGCTTGTAAAACACATGCCAAGAACCAGGCCCTCATTAAAAGGAAGTGCATCTAATTGGTATCTACTTGTGTATTTTGCAAGGAGAAGGATAATATCTGACCGAGCTCTGTTACAAAAAGGCAAACCCCAAGTTAACCCATAGAGGATGCTGGAGGACTTGCGCTGCCTTTCAAAAAACCAGTCTGAAATCAGCAAGAAGTATAAAACTTGGCAAGTTCATCCAGTTTCTCTCACACAGCTGGACAGCCACATTAAATATTGTTCATGCAGAGATAAAACAAAAGTAGGCAAAGCTAAAATAGAGAGTTTTGGGTTTTTTTTTTTTCTCCTAGCACTTAGCACCCATCGTTGTTACAACCCTGGGCAGAAGGCAAGCTCCAGTCATACGCACAGGTGTTCAGGGGAAGGCTTTCCCAGTTCAGCCAGTCAGTAATTACCGAAAGCACTTCGTCTGAAACAGGTACAGAGGAGACAGCCTGCGAGAAGTTAATCAGAAAACAACCACGCTGGGCCAGCTGTGCTGGGAGCTGAATCTGAGGTTGTGGCTTGGGGGGGGTTGTTGAGGAAGCCGTCCTAAAAGTAGAAGCAACAAGATTTAGAAGATAACGAAGCTACAGCAGCACGGAAACTCGAAGACCTTTTTTTTGTTTGTTTTAAGGCAGGGAAAGAAGAGAAAGGACGTTATGAAATCCCACGTAAAGCCACAGAAAGGCAAGAGGAGAAGGTGCAGTGTGAGCAACCAGTCCCGCAACCAGCCGGGCACCCTGCACCTCCACCCCCAGCCCAGTGCACTCATCCCTGGGGCAAGCTGAGACTGCCGGTCCCCGAGTCGCAGCGTCAGGGAACCGAAGGATGTTTGCTCTGCGGCTGCACCCACCCGGCCAGGTCTCTATAAACACTTCCACATATTTCAGCGCTTACTGCAGAGCGCGCTCCGCCTGGGGCTCTCGCACAGGATCGCTTTCGTCCGTCACGTGGCTTGGGCCCAGGTGGTCAAACCCAACATCTACTCCATCTGAGCTCGCTGAGTGAGAGCTGCCACTGCCCACAGCAACAGCAGAACCCGATACTGCTCCGGCTCCGACAGCTCCCTCTCGCTCGCATTCGTGCCTGGTCTTGACTCCTGCTCACGAGGGAAGGAGAGCGGATGCGCCTCCTAAACCAGGGCAGGTGCCCGGGAATGATACCAAGCAGGGCTGTACCCCTGTCCTTGACAGCCCCTTCCCCGCTTCAGGACAGGGTCCCTCCAGCGCTGGAGCCTGCAGAGGCATTTTTATGCTGGGCAAAAACTGTCCAAAAAAATCTGAAGGAGGACTCAGGACTCTGGATCGTGGCTGTCCCCTGCAGCAAGCCCCACTGCAGCAACTGGAGAAATGGCCCAAACAAGGAGACAAGTGGTCCAGAGAGTCCCAGCCCAAGGGAGCTGAGAGTTAGGGCAACAGCCACCCCAAACTACAGCACCCCAGGGCCCACGGCCGGTGCAGAAAGCTTACGGGGACATCAGGGGAGATCCTCAACGCGTGTCCCGGCCCAAGGGTGGGACCCTGGGGAGAAGCATCCCTGCACAGGCACCACAGGAACACAAAGCCCAGGAAACCCCTGGAACCGCAGGGAGGTGACAGCACGGGACAGACGTGGCCAGGCACTGGCAGGTGAACCTGGACGTGACACGGCACGCTGACAGCCGTGCTGGGACACCAGCAGCGGTGTGGAAAGGCAGGCATCTCCACGCTTGACTGATGGGAGTCCTGCTGACAGCCACGGCAGCAGCAGCAGAAGCAAGGAGGATTTTCTGGTGCTGCAGCACAGAAACACCCATCCGGACAAGTACAACGCCCCTGCTCCTTTGCAGATGAACCGCCATGGCTGACACTACAGGCAGTCCTTCCGCAACACACGTCTGGACCCAACAGCGGTGAAAAAGTAAACAAACTGGAGGAAGAGAGGCAGCAGCAAGGTAAGAAAATGCTGTTGGGAAAGAAGATGGAGAGGAGTTACAGCACGAAGGTGATGGGTAACCTAGAGAGATCCCAGACACCTGAGTCAAAGAGCAAAAATACTCCCATGGGCTTCTGATGGAAGGGAGAACTCCCTGCCCAGAGAGACACAAGAAATAAAGCTGCAAGCAAAGATGGGAAGGCACATTATTATCTCGTTTTAAGTGCATTCACCCTTGGGACACCATCTCAAACCATACCTCAGACTCCCCGGCGGAGTAAGGTGATCCCACTCCAGTCACAGAGGCGCTGCCTTGAGACTTCTCTTGAATCCAATCC